TTGAGGGAAAGAGTAGGAATCACACCACTGGTGGGTTGGTGGGTATGGTGGCTACTGATATTGGTGTCCTAGCCTGTGGCTTTACTGGGAGATGCTGGAGAACGTTTGGCTACAGGTACCAAGATGTTTGTGATTTAGTCTAGCTTTGCCTCTTTTAGGAGCCCAAAGCCAAGACAGAGATTCAGTCGATATGCTGCGGCAGTTACTAAAATACTGAGTGACTCCTGGCGAGGTTGGTAACGAGCACTGCAGCAAGCCTTCCAAGCCCCTCTGCCCCTTCCCCAGGGTCCTCCCCGCCCTTAAGGGAAGGGGAAAGGCTTGGCAGAGCAGAGGCCTCTGAAATGCTGCCCTCCCCCCCCTCCCCCCAACGCACTATCTGTGGCTGATTGTTCTGATTGGCTGGTGCCTGAGCACACAGGTTACGAAATGCAGTATTTCCAATACTGTTCCTGGCTAGAGCTGTAAGTCACATGACGGTTGCCCAAATCTGCTTGTCCCCTGCTTGTTATGACTCCTCAGACACATCAAAGCCAAGCAGGGGTGCATTTCTGAGGGCCTGGGGTTGGGGAGAAATGCAAATGCAGCTGCCTGAGGAAATAAGGAAGACAGCGGGGTTCCCCACCAGACCTCACTGACCGAAGAGCAATGGCCCTTTCCTTCTCGGGCACCCACCCAAGCCAGGCACAGGTATAGCCCCAAGGTAGAGGGGCTGTGGCCCAAGTACCCACCAGAAGAAAGCCAGGGATTCCGATTGGACTGCGGGTCTCCAACGGGGACCGAGATGGTGGGCATCCCGATCAGAGAGCGGGGTAAGAGTGTGGCTTGAGGTGAGGCGGCCAGAGAGAACTCGTCCCTGACAACACAGACAGGCTTCCCGGTGAGATCTGTGAAGGGTTAGAGGCTGTGGGAAGGGGGGCCTGAGTGGACCCCAAGAACTCCAGGGGGCTGGGAGGAGGCTGGTGAGCAGGGGCTGCACTTGGCCCACTTCCTCCAGTAACCACAAGCCCAGAGATGGCGAGAGCTGGGAGGGCCTCTGTAACCACTGCGACCTTACCCCTGGGGACACTTAGAATGGCAGCGAAAGGATGTGCTCAGGGTCACGCAGTGAGTCAGGCAGAGGTAAGACAGGAAGCCGGGCTTCCTGAGACCCTAGTCCTGGGGTCCTTTGGGTGTTCTACGACAGGGCAGTGAAGTGCAGGTGTGAGCACACAGAGGCAGGCAGCTTAAAAAAGAGGATGTGGGGACGGGGGCATTAAGCCACAGTTTGTGACGAGAGGGGCCTGGGCTCAAATCACAGGGAGCGAGACCCTCTGGATAAAACTTCATGCCATCTGTCAGGCTTCCAGGGCTCAGTGCGTGGCAGCCTGGAGGTGGTAAGAGACATTTACACGTGAGGACCCTCCGGTCTAAGGTTTGTGTGATGTTATAGCATCATTAGTTAAGCCTTGGGGAACAGCCTGGTTAGGACTTACCGTGGGTGCCCACTCTGTCTTCCCGAACACTTTCCTTTGGTGCCAGGACCCCTCACTCTCCTGCGTCCTCCTGGCTCACCAGCCGCTCGGCTATTGCTTCCTCTTCATCTCCTCAACCCCTTACCCTTGGGGTCCCCAGGCTCATGCCAGGTTTTCCTCCCCCGCATCTACATGGCCCCCTGATGATCCCATCCAGCCCGCCGCTTCAAATACCACCCCCATCTGAGCGGCTCTCACGTTGGCATCTCTGCCCCAAATGGACCTGACTGCCTACTCGATACCTCCCCTCGGACTTCCAGGAGGCATCGCACGTGTTGCATCTCCCACGTCCCAGACCGAACCCCTGACCCTCCCCACCCTCCACTGGCCCCTTCTGTGGGCTCCCCTGTCTCAGCCAGTGCAACTCCAGTTTTCCAGTTACTCAGGCCAAACAGCCTGGGAGTCAGGCTGCCTCCACTCCCCTCTCGTACTCTGTTTTGAATCTATCAGCAAATCCCGTTGGCCTTACCTTCTGTATATCTGTGGAGCAGGGACACTAACTCCTCCACGGCTACCTCCCCGGTCCAAGCCACCATCCATTCAAAAGCCAGTAGATCCCTTCTGCTACCTCTTTGCTCGCAACCTTCCAGTGGCTCCCACCTGACTCAGTGAGATGGCTTAAGGGTGACCACGGTGAGCTCCAAGGCCCACGCGATGTGGGCCCGGTTGCCTCTCTGATGCATCTCCTTCCTGTCCCCTCCTGACTCTGCTCCAGCCACACTGACTCCCTTGCTGTTACTCCAACAGAGCCAGGACGCTCTTGCCTCAGGGCCTCCGTCCTTGCTGTTCCCTCTGCCTGGGACACTCTTCCCCCTGAGATCCACATGGGTCATGTCCTGTCTTCCTCTATCCTTTGCTCAAATGTCATGCTGTTGGTCAGGCCTCCCCGTATAGCCTTGGCACTTACCACATCTGACACCTTATCTATTTCCTATTCTTCCCCACCAAAGAGTCGGCTCCGTGAGGGCAGGGACTGTCTGTCTCACTCATTCTCATAACCCCAGGACCTAAAAAACTGCTTGACCCATAGTTCACACTCATTAGATATTTGGTGGATGAATAGCCGAGTGGATGAAATGGCCTGAGTTAGACGAGAGAGTGCAGCTCTGCAGGAGAACCTTCATCCCTTTCTCTGATTTGTAAAATGGGAGAATGGGCAATGACGTAAATCCTGTAGGGCTAGGCAGTCTGCCCTTGGACCCCCGCACCCTGCCCCTGCCTCCTGCCTCAGGTCGCGTCTTGGCTGGGCCAAGCGCGGGCTGGGTCCTCCCTTTCCAGCACGCCCTCCCCTGTCCCCACCTCCGGCCAGGCACTGGCCTGCCCCAGCCCTACCTTGGATGTGGGTCACGTGCTGGGGACGGGGGTGGTGCCGGGAGGAGTGATGGCTGAGGTGGCCGAAGCGGTGGGCACCGGGAGTTTGGGGCTTGGAGGTCCTCAGTGCCTCTCGGATCAGCTTGAAATCCACAATCCCTGGGATCATCAGTTCTTTCTGTGGCCCGCCGTCCGCGTGGCTCCTTGGCCTGCACCCTGGCTTCTTCTCGGGTTTTGGCTCAGCCCTTGGCCTGAAGGAGAGGGTCAGGGAGAAGCAAATGGAGCCCCCCGGCAGCGGTGCCCACCTGAGCTTATTAGAATCCATTCCTGAGATGCTCTGAAATCTGGTTTCCGGGATTTCACCGCCACCCCGGTGACACCAAAGCTGAGCCTCCCCCAGGGTCCTTTCCCAGCCATGCCATCCAGCCCCAGGGACGCTTCTGTCTTCCTAAGGTGCCTGAGCAGGGAGCCAGGACCCCAGTTTTCTCTCAGAAACCATTTCTAAAGCCAGAAAGAGAAGCCATAGACCCACCTACTCATCCAAATACCTGGACTGGAGCAAAGGTACATTATATACACCTCCAGGGCCAGGGGGCTGACCCTAGCATGGGCCTCTCCCCAAGCCAAACTGTTGGCAGCCCAAGAGAAGCCAGCTATAGGCTGTCACCCTCCCCCCTTGCCCTCAGGGGCAGTTTTGGCCCAGACTCAGCGTCCAGGGGCCAAAGCTGGCGCCAAGGCCAGACTAGGCCAGCGAGTTCTTTTCCCGTGGGGGCCCCTCCCGGGAGATGCAGAGGTGACGGGGCGGCTGTCAGGGCTGCGTCGCTGCAGGGAAGCCTCAAGCTCTTGCTTCGCTTCTCTGGAGACAAGCGTCTCAGGTTCTCTGTCCTCCACCCGCACCCCTTCCCTCTCCTGAGGACGCTGTGCTTCTGCCCCTGGAGGAGGCGATGGAGTAGGTCCAGCGAGGATCCAAAGGTGGGCTGCTGTCCGCCAGGGGCCTGGTGGGACCACCTGCCTGCTCACTGTCTGCTTTCTCTTCTGGTGGTCCTGGCTGAAGGGAGTCCCTCTGGAGTATAGATGGACTCTGGATATGCTAAGCAAGGCGTTTTGCCCCGGGACCCTCTGCGGATCTCGCTGACCAGGCCCCTGAGTTTCCTGTTCCGTCCTCGATTCGCCTCTAAGGGGTCTGGGACTTAAAGAAATAAAGCAAACCTTCTCTGAAAGTCGCTGTTAGCTGGCCTCCCCCACCCCCAACTAACAGAAGTCAGCCCCTGAAAACCCCTGGAATTTCTGTGCTCCTGACCCCTGTCTGTGACTCTCTCCCTACGCAGGAGGGGCCCTGCTTGTGACTTTGCTAACTCAGGCCTGAGAACCCACTGGGGGCCTGGCTGATGGCAGTGGAAGGTGATCTCCACTCGGACCCTCAGTTTGTTGAGTTCCTTTGTCTTCCGCCCACCCCGGCCCCCTCCACCTCCTTGGTCAGCAGGCAAGGCATTTGGGACCTTACCTCGTCAGTGGATGCTCTGCCAATTGGGTCCTCACTTCTGTAGCCATTGTAGGGCCTCTAACAGAGTAAGGACCGGTGAATTTAATACTAGTGTTGAAGATGGATAACAGGAACTCTTGTTGACTGGTAGTAGGAGTGTAAACCAGGACAGACTTTAGGGGGAAAAATTGGCACTATCTTATAAAATTGAACATTTGCATGCCATATCACCCAGCAATTCCTCTCCCAGAAATATACCCCAGAGAAACTCTTGCAGATATGCAAAGGGGGCTATGTCTAAGAATATTCAAACCAACATTGTTCAAATTAGCAAAAACCTGGTGACAATCTAAATGTCCAGTGGCAGAAGAATAGATAAATATGCTGTGGTCCATTCAGACGATTGAACATTACATTGCAACGACAGTGAACGAACCACAGCTACACGCAACAACATAGATGAATCTTACAAATGTGATGCTAAGTCCAGGAAAGCAAGTTGCAGGAGACCATATGGCCTGAGATGCTTTTTAAAGATAAAGTTCAGGGCTTCCCTGGTGGCGCAGTGGTTGAGAGTCCGCCTGCCGATGCAGGGGACACGGGTTCGTGCCCCGGTCCGGGAGGATCCCACATGCCGCGGAGCGGCTGGGCCCATGAGCTGTGGCCGCTGAGCCTGCGCGTCCGGAGCCTGTGCTCCGCAGCGGGAGAGGCCGCGGCGGTGAGAGGCCCACGCACCGCAAAATAATAATAATAATAATAATAATAATAATAATAATAATAATAAAGATAAAGTTCAAAAGCAAGCAAAATTAGAGGACTTCCCTGGTGGCGCAGTGGTTAAGAATCCACCTTCCAATGCAGGGGACGCAGGTTCGACCCCTGTTCAGGGAACTAGATCCCACATGCATGCCGCAACTAAGAGTATGCATGCCGAAACTAAGGAGCCAGTGAACCGCAACTAAGGAGCCCACCGGCCTCAACTAAAGAGTACACGTGCTGCAACTAAGGAGCTGGCAAGCTAAAACTAAGGAGCCTGCCTGCTGCAACTAAGAGCTGGCACAACCAAAATTAAAAAAGAAAGAAAGAAACAAACAAAAAGCAAGGAAAATTATCATAAATGTGATCAAACAAGAAAGAAAAGCAATGAACGCTAAACACAAAATTCAGATAGAGGCTATTTCTGAGGGCAGATGGGAAGGGGAGGTGGGGAGGAGAGAAGCGAATATGATGTGTTGGTGGTGGTGTTCTAGTTCTTGGTTTGAGAAGTGCACTTACTGGTGATGACATGAATGAAAGATAATAGGTGTTAAAGCCACGAATTGTGATTAATCTAAATCTGTGGGTCTGTATATATAGTGCTGGGGTTGCAGGTGCCAAGGATGGGGTTGAGGCAGGAAATCAGTGCATTCTGAGAATTAACCGTCTGAGTCATAGAATCTGCAAGGGACCCCAGAGATCCCCCAGGGCCAGCCTTCCATCAGGCTAGGGTGGAGGGGAGCGGACAGCACTGCCTGAGATCGGGTAAGGGGAGAGACTTTGAGATCAAACAGCAAGGAGCCAGGCATCCTGACTCAAAGTCTCCTGATCTTTGCCTAAAGAGAAAACCAGTTGGCAGGGCTTCCTTTGAAGGAAGTTTGGACATCCTTAATGATGGGGGCTAGGCTCTAGAGCACTTAGATGCTGCAGGGTTGAGCACAGGGCATTGGGATGCCCCATACCCACCTGCCTACAGGAAAAAGACTCGATAGAACAGAGACTTTTAAATACTTTTGACTGTGACCATAGTAAGAAACTCATTTTTACATCATAACCCGATTCATGCACACAAGTGTGCATGCATTTGTGTGTGTGTGTGAAACTGAAGCAATTCTTACCCTTGTTATATACGATGCATACTGATAGTTTCATCCTATTTTTTGTTTTCGTTTTGTCAGTGTTAGATGCAAACTATTAAATTGATTTTATAAGCCACTAATGGGTCATAGCCCACAGCTGCTGTGAAGAGGTCAACAGAGCCTCTAGCGGGCCAGGCCTGCCTTTTCCAGAGCAAGCCAGGCCGGGGCCCCACTGCATCTGACCCTGACCTTCCTTCCCTCTCTCCCTGGGCCCCCAGCTGGCCAGGCACAAGGCTGACAGCAACGCAGAGACAGAACTTCCCTTTTTGCCTCTCGGCCCCCCTGGGTCCTCCCCCAGGCCCTGGGCTGTCTGGAGTGCCCATTTCCTGCCCTGTGGAGATCCCTGGACTCACGGAGGAAAGTGGCCGCTATAGCATGTGGGTGAGTAGCCCTTGCTGCCCCAGCAGGAAAGAGAAAAAGGACATGTCAATGGGAAGGCTCGTCAGTTCTGTGGGTAAGCCTGTCGCTTTGTGACTGCATGAGCCAGTGGTTGCTAGGTTACCTCTGCCCCACAACTCCAGAACCCACTCCCTGGCACCCCTCTCCTCACCCCCATCCAGCTCCTTTTACCCTTCCTGGAGGGTCAGGAAGGCTCGCTTGAGGACCTGCTTGCCCTCCCTCCAAGCTCCCTTTCTATCTCCCATTCAGCACTTTCAATGGGGACCAAGGGAGAAAATGAGAATCAGGGGCTGGTTTCAGCCAGCGAGCATCAGGCAGAGAGAGAAAAACTGGCAAAAAAGTTTGGTTGGGCTGGGTGCCAGCTCTGTCAGCCTGACCGGGCTGTCTGCCACCACGGACGGGGTCTGTCTCCATGCGTCCTATTTCTGGGGATTGATTCGCAGAGAGCTGTCTCTTAGATGGGGAGGAGGAGGCCGCCAACAGGATCCAAAGCATCCCTGTAGCCCTACTCTAGGCAGGTTAGCTGGGTGGGAGGACCCTGGGCTTTCAGTTCGGCAGGGGTTTCCGTGGGATTCTGACACTCCCCAGATGTGCCACCTTGAGTAAGTCGTCTGTACTGCCAGAGGTGTGGAACAGTGGTAAGAATACTTGGTTCCAATTCCAGCTCTGCTTCCTAGCTCTGAGGCCTCAGACAATTTACCTGATGTCTCCGAGCCTCAGTTCCTCTGTCTCTGAAATGGAGATGATACTTGCACTTATTCTCATGGGAATTTTGAGATTGCATGAGGTAATGCACATGAAAGTGTTTAGAATAGTGCCTGGCACCAAGTATGATAACTTATGTTATTACCCTCTCTGAGCCAATAAAATGGGGTACCCTCACGTACTTGTCAGGTTCTGAAGGACAAACAAACTAATAGAAGTGAAGCACCTAGTCACACGCCTGGTGCACAAGAGATGCTCAAAAATGGTAATAATAATCACTGTGATTGGTATCTTGCTGGAGGGAAGATGGAGGGGGATGGGATGAGTCCTGAGCCTGAGAACTACCATGGGTAGTTTACTTTGTTTCTTTGAGGCTCAGCTTGCACCGCGGAAACAGGGGACCAGGATAATCCTTTGTCCACAGGGCTGACGTGAGATCAGAGGCCGTGAGGGGTGTACACAGATTCTGTAAACAATGCAAGGGTTTGCAGACGATGCTTGATGCTGTCCTAGGAGTGAGGCTGCTGGGCCTCAAAACGGATGGGGGTGGGCCTAGTCAAGGGTCTTCCTTCTCGGCACCCCTGGCTTCATATCAGTGGCCCAAGGCTTCTAGACTCTGTGTCCTCTGCTGGGGAGGAAGAGCAGGAAGGAGGATAGCTAGAGGCAAACCTAAGTTCTTCAAAAGTTCTGCCCCTCCCCACTGAGGGGTGGGGACGCAAAGCACTGCAGTGCCCCATTCAGGGGGGGCCTCTGAGCTTGGCCTTTGCCTCCAGTGCTTTTCCATCCACACGGGTCAGAATGTTCTCCCTTTAGGCTCTGGCTTCTCCTGGGCTTGTCTCTGCAGGAATGAGGTGACCCCTTTGAAACCATTCTGAAAGCCCCACTCTTGCATGCTTCTGGGAATCCTGATGGCTACTATGACAAATAAGACTGTATTTGAAAGGAGAGAGATCTTTCTTCCCTCCTGCCAGCCCCTCCGTGCTGCTTTCAGCTCACCTGGGGGATTTCCCACAATGTGACCTGACTCAGCCGAGAATAAAACCCACTCTTCCTCCCCTTGCCCCTCTTACCCCTACCACTGTGTTGTTTAAAACTGAACACCGGGTCTCCGTGCACGTTGCAGCTTTGGGATTGAAGGGGGTACCATATGGAATGCCCTCAACACTGGTTTATAAGGTTTATGAGAGAATTGAGAGGAAACCCTTCTGGCTGCTATTTACGGAGCGTCAAAAAGAGGAGAGAGATTCTGTCTGCCTGTAAATGGTTTGAAGCACAGCCCTCCTGCTGGGATGCCTCAGTTATAAGACAAGCACTATAAAGTTTTAGGGAATACTTCTTATGTGCCAGGCACTGTGCTAATCGTTATTTTTCTTCTGCGGTACGCAGGCCTCTCACTGTTGTGGCCTCTCCCGTTGCGGAGCACAGGCTCCGGACGCGCAGGCTCAGCGGCCATGGCTCACGGGCCCAGCCGCTCCGCGGCACGTGGGATCTTCCCGGACCGGGGCACGAACCCGTGTCCCCTGCATCGGCAGGCGGACTCTCAACCACCGCGCCACCAGGGAAGCCCCAAAATGCAGTCTTTTGATGGAGAGAAATTTCTAATTTTAACTTAGCCCAGTTGATTAATTTTGTCCTTAGTGATGAATGGTGTTTGTGTCCTACTTAAGAGATCTTTGCCTACCCAAAGTTATGAAGATATTTTTCATATTATTTTCTAGAAAGTTTACTATCTTACTTTTCGCATTTAGAGCTATGATCAGTCTGGAATTGGTTTTTGTGTATGGTGTAAGATAGGCGTCAAGAGCCATATTTTTCCCCCTACAAATATCTATTTGACCAGCATCATTTTTAAAAACACTGTCTTTGACTTGCTTCTCTCTGGTATCACCTTTATCAAAATTCAAGTGTCCATATACGTGTGGGTCTGTCTCTGGACTCGTTCTTTTCGAGCGCACTATGGGTCTAGCATTCTGCCAATACTACACTCTCTTAGTAACTGTAGTTTTAAATACATCTTGATATCTAGTGGTATAAAACTTCATTGGAGAAAACTATTTTTTTTCTCCACT